TAATAATCCTTTAGGTGAGTGTATATTACTATACATAATATTTAAAGTTTTTAAGTATGTGTTTAAAGAGTGTTTAAAGAGATTCCAGCAACCTGGATGTTGAACATATAGGTGTGGACTGCTTAGGTGTTTATATCAACATGTATGTGAACCTTGATACTGTTGATTGGTGGTGTGACCCTGAGGTTTCAGCATGTTTGATTTCTGTTAATATGTCAGAGGAGTGAATCACTGCCGTTATTTCACTGGTAAAAAGTGCAGAGATATATTCAACATCAAATATATCATTGGAATCTCATACACAGAAGACTGGCAGCACTGAAGCCTCATACCTCCAGGCTGGGGGCTTGATTCCCGCCCCAGTTCAATGTGTGAAGTTTGCAGGTCCTCTAGTTTGCACAGCTTTCCTCCTACATTCCAAAAGCACGCAGTCAGGTGAACCGCCGTCTTTAAACAGGCTATAGAAACAGCATCAGAATCTGCTTTATTGGCCAAGTATGTTCACATATACAAGGAATTTTTCTCCGATTTTTTGTCATTCTCAGTATAAACAGGACAGACATACAGTAAAAAACAGGACTACAAAAAAGAATTAGGTACAGTACGTACAGAACAGACATAAGCCAGAGGGTCATGGTGCAAAGGTGCTGGTTACTATATATATACATGAGGTACAGTGGATGCTTAGTGATAGCAGAATATTGCACAAGTACTGTCCTTGACACTTAAGTGATGTCCTGTGGAATGAAACTGTTCGTGTGTCTGGTTCTTTTGTCGTACAGTGCTCAGTACCGCTTGCCAGAGGGGAGGAGCTCAAACAGGTTATAATCAGGGTCTGATGGGTCTGCAGTGATTTTGCCTGCCTGTCTCCTGACTCTGGGCATGTGTAAGTCCTGAATGGAGGGCAGGTCAGCACCAGTGATTTTTTTCTGCAGTCCTGACTGTCCGTTGTAGTCTCTTCCTCTCCTGTTTGGTGGCCAAACCAAATCAGACCGTGACAGATGTGCAGTGAACAGCCTGGATCATTGCGGAGTAGAACTGGATCAGCAGCTCCAGCGGCAGGTTGAGCTTCCCGAGCTGGCGCAGGAACTACATTCCTTGTTGGGCCCTTTTCACAATTGTGTCTGTGCTGGCCGCCCACTTCGGGACCTGGGAGATTGTGGATCCCAGAAACCTGAAGGTTTTTCACAGCAGACAAAGTGCTGTTGCATAGGGTGAGGGGGGGCAGTGCTGGGGGGGGGGCACCTCCTGAAGTCTGCTCTCATCTCCATCGTTTTAGGCGTGTTGGTCTCCAAGCTGTTCTGACCGCACCAGAGGGCCAGCTGTTTGGCCTCCCGTCTGTATGCAGACTCGTCAACGTCCATGATGAATAAGGTTGTGTATGTGTGTGTGACTGTGTGGGCTCCAAATGACACCACAAGTAACAAAACACCTGTTATTTTGACCTTGTAGGGACATTATTCTGGTCCAACAAAGACAAATTCAATTTTACTACAGTGCAATTAAAAAACTTGCATTTTGTTTTGTTATTTATGCTTAAGGTTAGGGCTGGGTAGGGGTGATGATGAATTAAAACCTTTACTACAGTAAAAGCACAGTATCCCTTCCACACCAGGATTAACATGGAGCCATGGAAATCTTTTGTACCATTTTGTCTGGAAAGTACAGTAAGAGTAAATTTAGGCAGTGACTGCTTGACAATGAATTTAGGGTCTGGTTGATTGGGTTTATTGAACTCTTGGGTACTCCTGGCCACACCTTTCTCACATACATCCTCCTAATTAAAACCTTTAAAATTAAATTGTGGAATTTTATCACTCCCTGAATTTCACCCCTCCCTCACTTAGCCATATTCTCTCCCTCCAACATGCCTCTTTCACAAACAACCAGATAAATTATTATGGGATACTTCAAACCTATTTGATTGCTCACCTATGCAACATTAACTACATCCTCTTGTCTCACCGAAGTAGAGGTCTGCTGCAACTGCCTATCCTAAACATGCACATAGCAATAAGTGATGAGTTAGGCCTATTGGGGACTGGATGGGGACTCTACAGAGTTGGCTCAAAACAGGTAAACCAGGGGTGGGCAATCTTACCCACAAAAGACCGGTGTGTGCAGGTTTTTGGGATAACATGTAGGTGTGAGGACTCTTCAGCCAATCAGTCCTCTAATTAGTAATCTAATTAGGGAGTTGCAGCGAAAACCCGCATACACACCGGCCCTTTGCGGATAAGATTGGCCACCGCTGAGCTAAACGATTCCTTAAATAACATGAATGCATAAGACTGTGGAAATATGAATGCATCCACTTACTTGATTTTGCTTGAAAAAGGAATCTATCTTCCCGTCTTTTCCTTTTGTGCATCCCAATATTGCATGACAAAAAAGAATGATTGCTTCAAGACACAGCTCTATGATAGGAACATATGATACTGCAAGAGACAGACTGCAGACTGAAAAAAAAGAAAAACACGGGGGTACTTGTTTAACGCATACGGTAAAGTTACCCCCTAGGTAGTTGCTATAACGTTAAATGCAATGCCATTGGCTAGCAAGGGGTCACAAGGATAATTACCCCTCGTCTACCATACATTATGTAGAAAATGCTGAAGTTACGACGTTGTGATTTAGCGTGATGTAGTATCAGATATCACTTTGTTCTGCCTCAAAACTCTTCTTCCCAAATCCAACAGGACAGTGCTTTGCCAACTTACTTTGAAGAGGAGCAGCTCTCGTTCCCTGGTCACTGACGGTAATACCTATGCTGTGATTGGCTGAGTGGTCTTTCAATTAAACTAACGGACCTATGTGTGTAGCGTAAATCTGCTTCTGTGTTTTTTTTCCCTCCCAGATTAGAGCTACCGTTCGATTCGCTCTTGTACTGTAGCAGGACATATTTTCGTATCGTTATAATCTGTCAAAAGCATGTGTGTGTGTGTGTGTGGCGGGGGGGTCGTGTTTCAGCCAAAGTGGGGGTGTTGTAACACCCACATCCCCTCAGTTTGCAAGCTTAATAGCGCATTAGACCTTTTGTTGTAATTTTGTTGTTTGCCGTCTAGGGAGCCCCTAAAAGGTCTGGGTGGGAAAATATGTTTTTTAATAGTTTTGCGTTCCCACGCAATAGATTTGCGGTCATACAGTACTACTCTTGCCCACTTGCTATTTGCTGCGATATGACGGCATGGATAAATCTAAATAATACAGACATATCATGTAAAACATTAAACTACGGGGGACAATGATCGAATACCATGTAACTGCGTTTTTTTCCTTGGGGGGTACACGTATCTCAATATATGTGAACGAGTTGAAATTCGTTCTAATTTGATTTTTGAAAAAGTGACAACCCTACCCTCTAGCACTGGCGTCGGGGGTGAAACGTAAGGTTGTTATTGGAAGGTATTTGCACTAATAATATGTCATTGTCACAGGGATCCTGTTTTCAGGCCGTATGGAGGGGAGGCATGCAGGCGAGGGGCTGCAGGAGTCCAGCACAACACGGAAACCAGTGCTTCAAAAAAAAAAAAAAAACAGGTCTCCATACAACTCCATGTTCTGATGAGGAACAGAAGAGGGCAGCGCTAAGAGTCGCCTAGCAGCCTGTGCTTGGTGAGCTAACAGCGTAGGTCTGCAAAACACATTAGTTTAGATAGCTACTATTAGGCAGGAGGAACCAGTACGTGGTGTCCCCCTACCCCGCTTGTAACTCTTGCGTAACAGAACTGTGATCATTAATTAACAGGGAAGCATTTTCTCCACACGCTGTCTTTGAGGGTCCTGCAGCTCCAGTTTCCCTCCACACCCGTCCTCGGACACTTCTAACTATGATTCTTCACACAGTCTTAGACTATCTGGATTACCGGAGCATTCTGCTCTTCGTATTTGTCTTCTTGTTGATGGCTGATATCCTGAAGAACAGGAATCCACCAAATTATCCGCCAGGACCTTGGTCCTTGCCCTTTTTGGGAAATATCTTTACGGATCTGGAACCAAAAACAATGATGAAGGTAAAAAACAATAGCATTATATCATGTATCTAAATATCTGTAGTGTGCATGTTAGTAGTATATGCTGTATCCTAAACAACTCAAAGTTCTTGGAGTAAATGTTATACCAGTTCACTTTTATGCTGAATAAATGATTACACTGTCTACTTTGGTTCAGGCCACATATTATTAGGGGAAATTCAATTCAGTTCAGTTTTATTAATTGTATTGCGCGTTTTCACAACATTACCTTGTCTCAAAGTGCTTTACAGCATCCCCACCCCAAAATACCTCCCAAAAACAGCAGATAGCATTTTACACTTCAAACCAATCTCAATGGCATCCTGTATGTAAAATATTTTGTAGGACTTTAAACTGGAGTTTATTCCACAAGAAATTGTCGTTTCACTTCTTCTGACGCAAAAGCTCATGGTTTGCATGTACGTAATGTTTTTATTGTTCTAATGTTTCAGCTTGCTGAAAAATATGGCAATGTTTTCAGTCTGAGGAAAGGCAGCGAAAAAATGGTCTTTGTAGGCGGATATAAAATGGCAAAGGAAGCGCTGGTCACTCGGGGGGAAAACCTCGTCGATCGTCCAGATATCCCGCTTTTTAATAAAGTTTTTAAAGGAATCGGTAAGTATTTGTACAATCAGAATGTCATAGTGTTAAAGTACAGTGGTACCTCAGAACTCAAACTTAATCCGTTCAGAACTCCGGGTCGAATCCTAAAAAGTTCGAGTTCTGATCGAATTTTCCCCATAAGAAATTATGGAAAACCAATTAATTGGCTCCCGGCCCCAAAAAATTACACCTAAATATGTTTTTTTAGCATTTAAACACAAAATGAACCGGATAAAACAAGAAGAGCATATACTGTACTAAACTATGGGGCGCCGTTTGTAAAGTTACGAAACATTTTTGTACTTGCCACTTTTTCAACATTTAGTGCAATTTTCTGACATTTAGCTAGAAGTCAATGGTGTTGTGGATCATCATATTTTTTGCTGTGTAGATTATTTGCACAATTGTTCATCATATGTAAATATAAATGGTATGTCTATATATAAATATTAAATGTAAATGTCAAATATAAATGTTAAATGTAAACGTAAATATAAAAGTTAAATGTAAATATAAATGTTAAATATAAATGTTAAATATAAATGTTAACATATCTAAATGTTAAATATAAATGTAAATCTAAATGTAAATCTAAATGTTAAATGTAAAAGTTCAATGCAAATATAAATGTAAATCTAAATGTTAAATGTAAATGTTAAATATAAATGTTAAATGTAGATTATAAATGTTGAGAATATATGCAAATTCGCCACGCCCATCTGCATAGAAATGGGCGGTAACGACGAATTAGCCCGCTAAGTGGTTCGCTTGCAAAACGGCAGGTCCAATCGCGAGGACCGTAATCCATTGAGAATATCGTCACTGCTACGCGTCGCTCGTTCGCATGTCGGTAAATACTGACGCGCGAACGTGCGATATGTTTCATGTGATGTGTTATCACTTTTAAGGACAGTGAAACTGTAAGGTGTGTCCCCCCCTCGAATGACTTTTCCAGGGTGGGGGATGCTTCTTCATTACATATGGTGTCCAGACAGGTATGCAGCTGGACACCCTAAATGAGGGATCATACTTAAAAGAAATCTGACCTAGCTAAATCTAGCTAAATGTCAGAAAATTGCACTAAATGTTGAAAAAGTGGCAAGTACAAAAATGTTTCGTAACTTTACAAACGGCGCCCCATACTAAACACATCTACGTACATTTATCAAAACAGTAATTGGTAAAGTAAGAAAATAAATGTCCAAACAATGTGTAAAGTTAAAAAAAACCAATATGTCCTGCCCCGATTGTCCGCTCCTTCCGTGTGCCACGCCCCCTCGTTAACCCTGTGTGGAATCCCCGTGTGATCACCTGTTTCTGGTTGTTGTCGTTAATCCTCTGTATTTAGTCCGCTTTTGAGTTTGTTTCCCTAGTCCAGTCATTGTATTGTCCGTCAGCATTTTGCCTGCCTTACATGTAATTAAACCCGGATACCCTGACGTCTACGCCTTTGTCTTCGTTCTGACCCCGCTCGGCACGACAATATTATTATAATTGTAGAATCAGAATGTCATAGATGCATATTATTATAATTAAACGTATTAATGGTTTATTATTAATATTTAGCATTAATATTTATTATTAATATAAAAATAATAATAAATCATTATTTTTATGTATTTTATTATATAATAATAATTATTGTTACTGTCTATCATTGTCTAAATTTATTTTTACTGTCTAAATATATGTATTCAGCTAGTGTAAACATGCACACACAGCGAATGCGAGGCTGAGACTGAAGCGTTACCCTTTGTGTCCGCTGAGAGACGTGCCCCGTAACTCATTTCCACGCTCGTACAAGTTATCTTTGCCTTCTAAGATTCAGACCGAGTTCTAGGTAATTTTTTTGGTTGGTTCGACTTTTAAGAAATTCGAGTTCTAATGAGTTTAAGACCTGAGGTACCACTGTATATGTAAAATCATAATGTATGCATGCATGTACATAACTGACTTTCACATAATTACTAACATACCTTACAGGGGCATACCTAGAAATTCTGGCAAAATTTCAATGAAATGTCTCCTTGCCAACCAAAAAAAAAAAATGTATTCTTTAACATACATATGGTCCCCTGTCAAGTGGTGGGCCCTCTGAATCTGCCAGGGTATCCATGCCACTCCGATACCTTTAATGCCAAGTCACATACAGTTATGCTCAGTACAGTGTGCAGTGAGATGCTTGGTTGCTGAGCTCCAAAACTATGAAATAGGGGACATAAGTATGAAGAGCCGACAGAACATTAAAGAATTAACATTAAACAATAATCACAAATATCCAATATGCAGGTGTGTAATGACATATGGAGTAAGATGCAATTGTGTAAAAAATAATATCCAATTACAATCCTTATTTTAGTCTTTTAAAATATGCTAATTTGCATTTATTAACTTTAGTTGTACTTTTCTCTGTTTTATTCCTGCTAAAGGCTTGGTTTTAAGCAATGGATACTTGTGGAAGAAGCACAGGAGGTTTGCTGGGACCCACTTTAAGAACTTTGGGGAAGGAAAGAAGATGATGGAGCTGTTCATCCAGCAGGAGTGTGTGTTCCTCTGTCAGGCCATGGAGGACGAGCAGGGTGATTACAGAAATCCAGCCATCCATCCATCTATCTGTCTGTCTATCTATATATCTGTCCATCCATCCATTCAAGTATCTATCTGCCCATCCATCCATCCATTACTAATGCAGGGTCACAGTGAGTCTGGAACTTCACCAGCACTGGCATGGGATGCTGATCCATCAGAGGGCGCACGTGCACGCACACACACACACACACACACCCACACACACACACACACAGAGGTTTGTGATTATATCTTTGTGGGGACTCTCCATTCATTTCTATGAGGAAAACTCTAATCACAACATGACGACTTTAACCCCTACCCAGCCAAAACCTTAACCATAAGTAACCAAACAAAATATGAGACTTTTGGCATTTTTACTTTTTTGATTGCATTCACAGATCTTTGTGGGGACCTGAAAAATGGTCCCCACAACATAAAAAACTGTTTTTTATTACATTGTGGGGGACATTTGGTCCCCACGATGCAATATAAATCTAATTCACACACACACAGGGCAATTTGCAAATCTGTGTGGAGCTGGATGTCTTGTGAACACAGAGAGAACATGCAAACTTCACAAACAGAGTGGTGAGGAGAGATCTAGCCTACAGTTGACCGGGATACCATATAGCACGCCAATATTGTGGTTCCCTTCGGTGGTCAGAACCCCATCTGTGGCAACTGATTGACTGCGTCTTTGTCCACAGTTGAAGTGACAAATAACAGGTCCTCAGACGTATAATGTCCACCATCAATAATTGCAATATGTTCTTGCTAATTGTTTTCATATACTGTATGCTAATTTTTTTCTTTGTTCTTTCCATAGTTTTAAGTTATGTATGTCTGTGTTTTGTTCTTTTTAACTTTTAAGGTGGATACTTTAACCCATTGGTGATTATATACAATGCCATCGCCAATGTGATATGTACTCTGGTTTTTGGGCATCGCTACGACTACAATGACGCCAGGTTCCAGAATCTTCTACGGTTGGATAACGAGTGTGTTTATTTGGCGGGCAGCACTCGCGCTCTGGTGCGTGCAGCAATTCCCAGCTTTAAGTCTGACTGCATTTATATGCCAGCTGGATTAATAAATGACATATGCCTCAATGTGAATAGATTCACCAAATGCTTCCTGGTATCCTCAGTTATCCATGATCAATTCTGTGCATGTCAAGTAACTCTATTCTGCTTGTCATTGTCAGCTATATAACCTCTGGCCAAGGTTATTTGACTATTTACCTGGACCTCACCAAACAATATTCTCCAACTATGACCAAATAACCACCTTCCTGAAAGAAGAAATAGCCAAACATAAGAAGGACTGGGACCCGTCTGATCCACGTGACTTT